GTGGTGATGCATGCCTGTAGTTCTCCTGCTGAGGCAGGAGAATTACTGGAACCCAGGAGGCAGAGGTTGCGGTGAGCCAACATCGCACCACTGTACCACTGCACTCCAGCCTAGAGACAGAGTGAGTCTAAAAAAAAAAAAAAAAAAAAAAGTTCAACGTTACTAATCATCAGAAAAATGCAATGGGATATCATCTCGCTTCAGTTAAAATGTCTTTTATCCAAAAGCCAGGCAATAATGAATGCTACTATGGAGAATGGTGTGGAGGTTCCTCAAAAAACTAAAAATAGAACTACCATATGATCCAGCAATCTCTCTGCTGGGTATATATCAAAGAGAAAGGAAATTGTTATATCAAAGAGGTATCTGCACTTCCATGTTTACTGCAGCACTATTCACAATAGCCAAGCTATGGAATCAACCCAAGTGTCTATCAATGGATGAATGGATAAAGAAAATGTGAGAGATATATATATGCATGGAATATTATTCAGCCATAAAAAAGCATGAAATTGGCTGGGCACAGTGGCTCATGCCTGTAATCCCAGCACTTTGGGAGGCTGAGGCGGGAGGATCACCTGAGGTCAGGAGTTCCAAGACATGGTGAAACCCCATCTCTACAAAAATACAAAAATTAGTTGGGCATGATGGCAGGTGTCTGTAGTCCCAGCTAGTCAGGAGGCTAAGGCAGGAGAATTGCTTGAACCTGGGAGGCAGAGGTTGCTGTGAGCTGAGATCACGCCATTGCACTCCCGCCTGGGTGACAAAGCGAGACTCCGTCTCAAAAAAAAAAAAAAAAAAGGCATGAAATCATGAAATCCTGTCATTTACTACATGAAGGGAACTGGAGGACATTATATTAAATAAAATAAGCCAGGCACAGAAAGACAAATGTTGCCTGTTCTCACTAATATGTGGGAGCTTGAAAAAATTTGAACTTGCAGAAGAAAAGAAATTGAGTTTGAGGAGATGGAGAGTAGAATGATGGTAGAATGATGGTTAGCAGAGGCTGGGAAGGGGAGTGGGGAAGAGGGGATAAACGGTGGATGGTTAATGGAACAAAAATACAGTTAGAAGAGAAAAGATCAGTGTTTGGTAGCACAACAGGTGATTATTGTCTATAATTTATTGTACATTTCTTTTTTTTCTTTCTTTTTTTATTTATTTATTTTTTTTGAGATGGAGTCTTCCTCTGTTGCCCAGGCTGGAGTGCAGTGGCTCCGTCTTGGCTCACTGCAACCTCTGCCTCCTGAGTTCAAGGATTCTCCTGCCTCAGCCTCCCGAGTAGCTGGGATTATAGGCATGCGCCACCATGCCTGGTTAATTGTTGTATTTTTAGTAAAGATGGGGTTTCACCATGTTGGCCAGGCTGGTCTCGAACTCCAGACCTCAAGTGTTCTGCCCGCCTCGGCCTCTCAAAGTGCTGGGATTACAGGCCTGAGCCACCGCACCCGGCCTATTCTACATTTCAAAATAACTTAAAAAGTGGAATTAGAATGTTCCTAACACAAAGAAATGATAAATGATTGAGGTGATGGACACCCCCATTACCCTGATTGGATCATTACTCATTGTATGCTTGCATAAAAATGGCACATGCACCCCATAAATATGTACATCTCCTATATATCCAAAAAAAAAGCATGGCAACCCATGACCAATTTATTCCCGTACAAGACTGATTCAGAATTTCTAGGCACTGAGCCCTCACTCTATCTTCGAAAGGATAGTTGGGGCTGTCTTTGTTAGGAGCGCAAGAACCCTGAATACCCTGCATTATTCTGTCCAGCCTGTCTCTTCTGTCCAGCCAATCATCACTTCTGTCCAACTCCATGACCAATTTATTCCCGTACAAGACTGATTCAGAATTTCTAGGCACTGAGCCCTCACCTATCTTCAAAGGATAGTTGGGGGCTGTCTTTGTTAGGGAGCGCAAGAACCCGAATACCCTGCATTATTCTGTCCAGCCTGTCTTTCTGTCCAGCCAATCATCACTTGTCCAGCCAATCATCACTTCTGTCCAGCCTGGTTCTTCTGTCCAGCCAATCATCACTTCTGTCCAGCCTATCACTTCTGTCCAGCCAATCATCACTTCTGTCCAGCCAATCATCACTTCTGTCCAGTCTGTCACTTCTGTCCAGCCAATCATCACTTCTGTCCAGCTTCCGTCACTTCTGTCCAGCCAATCATCACTTCGTCCAGCCTATCACTTCTGTCCAGCCAATCATCACTTCTGTCCAGCCAATCATCACTTCTGTCCAGCCTGTCACTTCTGTCCAGCCAGTCATCACTTCTGTCCAGCCTATCACTTCTGTCCAGCCAGTCATCACTTCTGTCCAGCCTATCACTTCTGTCCAGCCAATCATCACTTCTGTCCAGCCTGTCTCTTCTGTCCAGCCAATCATCACTTCTGTCCAGCCTGTCATCACTTCTGTCCAGCCAATCATCACTTCTGTCCAGCCTGTCTCTTCTGTCCAGCCAATCATCACTTCTGTCCAGCCTGTCAACACTTCTGTCCAGCCAGTCATCACTTCTGTCCAGCCAATCATCACTTCTGTCCAGCCTCTCATCACTTCTGTCCAGTTTATCACTTCTACTGAAGTAAACTCTGCAGTCACGAAGCTTTCGGAGTTCGGGTTATCAAATTAACCCAGAGCTCAGGTGCATTTACTCAGATTTTCTCTTTCATTGTTTCTTCCTTCTCTCTCTCTCTCTTTTTTTTTCAAATAATCACAGCAGTAAAATTACATTATAAATGATTAGGCTCTGTTGGATAGCCAGCTATTCCATTATAATTGTAATGCATTTAAAATCTTCAAGTTGCTTTGAAAAACACACTCAGGTGAAATAAAGCAGCTAGCCAGCCAGCGGGCAATGAGTTAACTGTTGTCTATGAAAGGGAAGAGGAGGAGACATCATACACTTTTTTTTTCCAGTCCTTTCTGTCTCCTGGTTACGGAATAGTCCTAGTTTTGTGTTGGCTGATGGTCTGGGTGCCTTGTGATTGTTTTGATAGAGCATAAGAGTTAAAATAAATATTTCTGCAGCCAGAGGGTTCCAGCCCTGGTTCCTTGGTAACCTCATACAAGTTACTTGACTTCTTCAGTACCTCAATTTCTTGGGAGTAAATAGCGATAAAACTCTGTGGGGTTGCTAGGAGGCTAATAGGAGTTAATACCTGTTACCTGATACATAATCCATGATTGTCAATAGGAACTCACATTTCTCCTTTCTCAAAGATGTTTTCAAGGACACAGAACACTCTCACACACATCGCTGCCTCGTTTAACCCTGCACAGAGCGGTTGTAATCAATGTGGAGAATGGGGAAATGACTTGCCGCAGGCCACGTAGGTCTCAGTCCAATGTTCTTCTGCTACACCACTAGCCATGTCTGTGCAAGCCACAGGGCCACTTGTCTTTATGCACACATAATAGATAGGCAGAGTGCAAAATTCCTAAGGTGAATGGTAAAACGTGTGCCTTTGTCCCCCAGCCACTCAGTTTTCCTTCCCATTGTTTATTCCTTTTCCTGTGATTTTTCTTTTTTTTTTTTTTAAGACAGGGTCTCACTCTGTCACCCAGGCTGGAGTGCAGTGGTGTGATCTTGGCTCACTGCAACCTCCGCTTCCTGGGCTCAAGCGATCCTCCTGCCTCAGCCTCCTGAGTAGCTGAGACCGCAGGCAAGCACCTCCCTCCACACAGGCTTTTTCTTTTTTTGTATTTTTCATAGAGGTGGGGTCTCACCACTTTATGTGATTATTTAAATGTAGTAGTTTGCTTGTGGCAAGCCATATTCTCCAGTAAATAATCAGATGTGGGCCAGACCCGGTGGCTCATGCCTGTAATCCCAGCACTTTGAGAGGCCAAGGTGGGCGGATCACCTGAGGTCAGGAGTTCGAGACCAGCCTGGCCAACATGGTGAAACCCCATCTCTACTAAAAATACAAAAATTAGCTGGGTGTGGTGGCAGGTGCCTATAATCCCAGCTACTCAGGAGGTTGAGGCAGGAGAATTGTTTGAACCCGGGAGGTGGAGGCTGCAGTGAGCCAAGATTGTGCCATTGCACTCCAGCCTGGGTGACAGAGTGAGGTCCTGTGGGAAAAAAAAAAAAAAATGTGATAAGAAATTTTAGACTAGAAACAACATACATGTTTAGTCTAGGATCAGTGTGGGAAACAGAAAGGGGGTTAACATACAAAATGAAGTGCTTAAAAAAATCCTCGGAAGGGCTGGAGGAACAGGCTCTGGGTGGGGCCCCCAGGAGGCATCTGGAACATCTCCCCCAAACTGACCCATCACCGCTAAAGCTATGTCAGTCCAGATCAGGAAGCTGCTTCCAGGAGTATTGAGTTCAAGAACCTACTCCCAACACCACCGCCTCTGCTACCCAGGAAGCTGGAATTTGAACCTTGGGACACAGACTTCAGCCACTGCCTTCACAACAGTTGCTTCTTGTCTGCCCCAAAGCTGGAGATGAGATACTGGACGTTTGCTGCAAAGAAGTGCTATGTCTCCACAACCTTGCTGGCCAGTAGAGAAGATCACGGCAGCAGCCTCTGCCTCACGTCCACCTTCCAAATCCCAAGCAAGCACAGCCGATGAAAGGGCTCTCACTCTTAGCCGGGATCCTTGTCGTGAGGGACTCTGGGAAATGTTGTGCTTAGCTTGCAAGAAATGAGACAGGATCTTGAGGCACAACTGATCAAAGCAAAAACAAAAGAACAATGAGGTGAGACAGGAGACTATGCCCAGCTAACGTTAGCGCAGTACCTTTGCTTTTTATTTTCTTATTGATTTATACTTATTTAATTTTTTTACCTTTGATTTTTAAAGAAAAGCATACCTGTATTTGCCTTATGCTTGCCATTTCTTTTTGCTCCTTTACTAATCTTGTATTTCCTTCCCTAAATAGCCTGTAAGCATCATCCTTCCACCATGTCAGATATTTTTACCGATTTCTTTCAAGATGGACTTCGCGGTACTAGATAGCTCACCCATGGAACTATGTGTAAACTGGCAATATGATCCTTTACTCTACATATTTTTTTCAGATTCCCATCCATCATGACAGCCATCCGACTACGAGAATTTATTGAGCGTCGCCCACTGATCCCGCCAAGGTATATTTCTTCCAGAGGCACTGCCTCCAGGGCTGAGGCCAGGCAGCCAGGTGCCTGGGGAGTTAGAACTGCACATCCTGCTGCTCAGTGGTTGAGAGACCACTGCCAGGGAGTTCTAGGGAAGCTCTTTGGATGTTTCTTGATGAGCAGGTCTATGCAAACCCACTGGCAAAAGTCAAAGGAAGCTGAGACGCCAAAGAAAGAGACTGATAGGCCGGGTGCGGTGGCTCAAGCCTGTAATCCCAGCACCTTGGGAGGCCAAGACGGGCGGATCACGAGGTCAGGAGATCAAGACCATCCTGGCTAACACAGTGAAACCCCGTCTCTGCTAAAAAAAAAAAAAAAAAAATACAAAAAACTAGCCGGGCGAGGTGCAAGCAGCCGGGCGAGGTGGTGAAACCTCAGTCCCAGCTGCTCGGAGGCTGAGGCAGGAGAATGGCGGGAACCCAGGAGGTGGAGCTTGCAGTGAGCTGAGATCTGGCCACTGCCTCCTTCCCCTGGGTGACAAGAAAAAATACAAAAAACTAGCCGGGCGAGGTGGTGGGCGCCTCTAGTCCCAGCTACTCGGGGGGCTGAGGCAGGAGAATGGCGGGAACCCAGGAGGTGGAGCTTGCAGTGAGCTGAGATCTGGCCACTGCACTCCAGCCTGGGTGACAGAGCGAGACTCTGTCTCAAAAAAAAAAAGAAAGAGACTGACAAATCCAGTTTCTTACAAAGAAATATTTAATAGGGACTTATGAACAGAAGCCACATATGTGTCTCAGTGGCAGTGAGATGAGATGGTGGATGTCTGCACCATTACCCCCAAGACCCAGGGTTTAGATACCATAGGGAAAGAGAGATACAGAAGGGATGTAGGGGACAATTGTAGTATGATAACACCAATGCTGTTTGGCCGAAGGGCAGAACTTACAGTAAGTACCTGCTCTGACACCAGGAACTATAAAGAAACTGGAAATCTTAGAGGCCTGGGGTGATATGATTTGCTTGTGTCTCCACTCAAATCTCATCTTGAATTGTAGTTCCCATAATTCCCACGTGTCATGGGAGGGACCTGGTGGGAGGTAACTGAATCATGGGGTGGGGCTTTCCCATGCTGTTCTCGTGACAGTGAATAAGTCTCACAAAATCTGATGGTTTTATAAGTGGGAGTTCCCCTGAGCAAACTCTCTTGCCTGCTGCCATGTAAGATGTGCCTTTGCTCTTCCTTTGCCTTCTGCCATGATTGTGAGGCCTCCCCAGCCATGTGGAACTGTGAGTCCATTAAACCTCTTTTTCTTCATAAGGTACCCAGTCTCAGGTATTTCTTCATAGCAATAGGAAAATGGGCTAATAAAAGGGGTTAATCAGAAGCCAACATGGTGAATTAGCATCCAACACAGAGTTGCTCTAGCCTCTACCCTGGGTTTAGGGAAGTTGTGAGAAAGAGAAACCTCACACTCATTGCAGAATCCAAGCAAACAGGCAACTCCAAATTCCCAAAAGACCAGAAAGATATTGGCTTTTGCTTCGGAAGAGCTTTACTGAGAAGTCTGAGCAACCCAGGCCTACATTTTGGATTGGACCATTTTACTCTGCTTGGGGTAAAACAAACTGCCCCTGTGCTTCTGCACGATGAGAGCTGACAGCACAGATGGAAACTAAGGAGCCGTTTCAATCTTTCTTCAAGGTCCTCTATGGCACAAGAATAACAAGCCCTAGATATGTTTTGTTGTACTAAATTTGATATCAGATGAGTCTGTAAATCCTAACCCCGCTCTCCCTTCACCATCTGCGATGGAGTCTGCAGAAGTGGAGTAGCTATAAATTTGTGACAGAAACCTCACACTGTGATTTGGGCGTCAGCCTCTTGTAGCCCCATTGGCTTCGTGGCTTTGAGCAAGCCTCATGTTTATTTTATTTTATTTTTATTTATTTATTAGGGACAAAGTCTCGCTCTGTTGCCCAGGCTGGAGTGAAGTGGCTGGATTATGATCTTCCAACTCCTGGGCTCAGCTGATCTTCCTGCTGCCTTAGTCTCCTGAGTAGCTAGGACTACAAGCTGCCTGGCTAATTTTTAAATTTTCTGTAGAGACCAGGTCTCACTATATTGCCCAGACTGTCTGGAACTCCTGGCCTCAAGCAATCCTCCTTAGTATCTCAAAGTACTGGGATTACGGGTGTGAGCCACAACACCTGGCCTCATGTTTATTTTAATATTGAGTTATTTTAGCCATGTTTGGTCAACAAAGAGAAGTCCTTCTTCCAGAAGCTACAGAAGGAGTGAATGGACGGATGTGTCCTTCTTGGGTACACCTTAAGAATCTGCTTTTAAGACCTGGCCCGGTGCCTCGTGCCTGTAATCCCAGCACTTTGGGAGGCCAAGGCGGGTGGATCACTTCAGGTCAGGAGTTCAAGAGCAGGCTGGCCAACATAGTGAAACCTATCTCTACTAAAAATACAAAAATTAGCCAGGCGTGGTGGCACACACCTGCAATCCCAGCTACTCGGGAGGCTGAGGCAGGAGACTCACTCGAGCCCAGGAGGCAGAGGTTGCAATGAGCCAAGATTGTGCCACTACACTCCAGTGTGGGCAACAGAACAAGATTTTGTCTATTAAAAAAAAAAAAAAGAAAGAGAAAAAGAAACAAATAAAATAATCGGAAGTTGTGATAAAGGCTATAAAGGAAATGAAAAAGGGTGTGAGAGAGAATAATCAAGGCGGAGAGGCAGGCAGAAGGAGAATACCTTCTCTAGCCAGGGTGTTCAGGGAACAGCTCTCTGAGCAGTTGACAGCCGAGCATGATGCTGGGTGATAGGGGTAGGGGGCGGGAGAAGGGAGTGGTCTAGGGAGGAGGAAGTGCAGGTCCAAAAGCCCTGAGTCACGAAAGACGCCATGACATGGTGACATGGGGGCTGGAGCTGGGAGAAGGTTGGGGAGGTAGAGGCAGGAGAAGTTCCTGGAGGGCTATGTGGCCCACAACAGAACATTTGGGTTTTATGCGATTACACACGCAATGGGTTGAAAGGTTTTATGCAATGGAGGACCCTGATCCGATTTACTTTTTATGAAGCTCACTCTGAGAACAGATTGTCTAAAGACAATAGTGGGGGTTATTGCAGAGAGCAGGGGGAGGCAATGGTGATCTGGGCCAAGGGGCAGCCGTGAGCTGGAGAAAAGTCAATCCATGGGAGATCCAGCCTGGAGGGGGAGTGCACGGACGTGCTGATGGATTGGACCCATGTGCTGGCAGGTCAGGAAAGGCATCAAGAGCTGTCCCACGGTGAGCACTGTGGGTGGAGGGTGAGGGCACCGAGACTAGTTCAGGTGCGGGAAGAGTGGGAGCCGTCAGTGTGCCTGCCCCCCGACCCACGTGCGGCTCTGAGGACAAGCCCCAGAGAGCTGAAGACAGCCCAGCCTTAGGCCTCCAGGGGCCCCAGGGCCTGCTGTGCTCAGTTCCACCCAAACCCCCCGACTCCAGGCCAGGTCCAGACACCACAGAGCACCAGGCAGGAGTGGCCAGTGGAGGTTTGTTTCCATTTTCCCCAGAGGAGACCAGAGTTAAATAGGCCCCACAGTGAACAAAACAGATCTCAAACACACCCAGAAAGAGCAAAGCCGCTGGGGAGACAATCAGGAAATACTGGCGCCAGCTCTGTTCCTCTCTCCCCTGCTTCCTCCTCATCCGGGTTTCGGGAAGGAAAGGGTTTTGGTTTTTTGTTTTGTTTTTGTTTTGTTTTTTTGAGACAAAGGCTTGTGCTGTCACCCAGGCTGGAGTGCAGTGGTACGATCTTGGCTCACTGCAACCTCTGCCTCCTGAATTCAAGCGATTTCTTGTGCCTCAGCCTCTCGAGTGCTGGGACTACAGGCGCCCGCCACCACACCTGGCTAATTTTTGTATTTTTAGTAGAGACGAGGTTTCACCATGTTGGCCAGGCTGGTCTCGAACTCTTGACCTCAAATGATCCACTCGCCTTGGCCTCCCAAAGTGCTGGGATTACAGGCGTGAGCCACCGCACCTGGCCTATTTTATCTGTTTCTTTATTTCCTGCCTGTCGCCACCCCCAGAATAATAATGGTAAATACTTCTGAAGCTCTTATTCTGTGCCAAGCACTGTCCTAGGTGCATCTGAACTCCTTTAACCTTCACTACTGTGAGTTCCGTATGAGGAAACCAAGGCACCATGTCGTTAAATGACTGTCCCAGATCCCACAGCCAGTGACTGGTGGATCTTAAACTCACGTCTGTGCTTATGGTCAGTGCACTTTGCTGCATCTCCAGGTTAGCCCCCGGGGCCAGGCTTACTTCCCTTTCTCTGCAACTCACTATCATGACCTCTGCCTTGCAGATTACCATTCTCAGTAGGCCCTGTAGGCACAGTTGTTGAAAACATTAAAATGAATGAGTGAGCAAAATTATCCAGTCATTTATGTGTGGTTTGTCCCCTGGTGACTGATGGCACCTGAGCCTGCCCTTGTGTGGTTTTGCACAAGCACGTATCCAATTCATCTTTAAATGCCCAAGCCTCAGAGCTATGCTATGGAAAACCAGATTAAAATCAGCAGGGACGCTGAATCAAAGTAAATGTTAAATGGTTCACACTTAGCAGTGGCCACATAAAATTCTTGTATTCATAATCATATTGGCGTGCAGCTGCTCATGCCTGTAATCCCAGCACTTTGGGAGGCCAAGGCGGGTGGATCATGAGGTCAAAAGATCGAGACCATCCTGGCCAACATGGTGAAACCCTGTCTCTACTAAAAATATAAAAAGTTAGCAGGGTATGGTGGCACACACCTGTAGTCCCAGCTACTCGGGAGGCTGAGGCAGGAGAATTGCTTGAACCTGGGAAGGTGGAGGTTACAGTGAGCCAAGATTGCACCACTGCACTCCAGCCTGGTGACAGAGCCAGACTCCGTCTCAAAAAAAAAGAAAAAAAAAGAAAAAAAAATCCTATTATATGCAACTGTTTACTGGTGCCATCCCCTGGCTACAGGCTGGAGGCCTGTCACTCAGAGA